AGGTGGGATATCATTGGGGTTAATGTTGTTGTCATCTGCATCCACCGCTTCCTGATGGGGGGCCCCCTCTCAATGTGGTCCCAACTTTTCTCCAATTCCGCAACCATGTTAGCCAGTTCTGAGTCTTCTTTGTTGTCTTCTTCATCATCGTCTTCTTTGTTGTCGTCTTCATCGTCAGATACCTCCATCAGAGGTGGCAGGTCATCAGGTTGAACTCTGTTGTCCTGTCTGAACAGATCGGATGCATAGTCTTCAGCAGTTCCAAAAGCGTTGCCTTGGAACGGCATGGCGTCTGTGTCTGGGCCTGCACCTGAACTTGATTGCCCTCCAGCACTCATGAGCAGTTCGTAAGCATCATTTGCTTTCTTAAGTTTGTCGAAAATGGCACGGCAAAGAGGGTCTTTTGTGAGAGCTAGATGGTGTTGATAACCTCGGAGTGAAAAAAGGTGGTCGCAGCCAGGACACGTAGTTGTTTCTGAGGACATTTTAGTGGGGAATGCGGACTTAACAGCTTGTAGAAGGAATGTTTGGCAGTCAGCCGCAGAAGTAAAAGACGTTGTTGCCAAACTATACAGTACCAACAAACAGTACCAACAAACACACAACCATCCATCTCCCCCCATCCATCTCCCATTGTACATGCTTCTGCTGTAGGTCCTCGACTGCAACATCCAGCACTCGAATAACCCTAACAATGGAGGATGATACTCTCATTGATGGGGAAGTGCGTCAGCAAAAATGAAATAATACGCGGTTGCAGAAGGAAGAAGAGGATCATCGACTAATCGCGGAAGGAGAAGGTAAGATCAGCCTGCACAGTCAACGAGACACCAATTTCTCACCTGTATTAGGACCAAGGAAGGCGAAAATGACAGCCTTAAAAAATGCCAGTGAATTCTTGGGTCTGGTGGTGAGAAAAATCTTTTGCCTCATATCTCCACAACAGGTACACTTTAGAACATAATTCAAACAGATTCTGGAAGCTACAGAGCAGGGCTACAACTTTGGATTTTGACCATTTTAGGAAATTGGTCATGTGACCACTCCCCCAGAGACCTATTACATGGACCCCTAGTTGTATTGTCATTCTTATCTTGATTCCTCCTACTCTTTGGTCATATCCAATCATATTTCCTCTTTTATATATACTAGCTGATACCCGTGCATTCGCATGGGTGGCTCTTTCTTGATATTACTCTGCCCAAGTGTGTTCCGATCTTATGTAGTGAAATTTGCCTCACTGTTCTCTAAAGACATGTGGTGTAATGGTCTAATGGGCTGCTTTCTGTGTATTATGTGTGGTGTGCCCAATTCCTGAACCCTTGTGTTCGATCTCTGGCTGAGGTAAAATTTCCTGCACTTTCTGATCCTGCAAGCTCTGTGTCCAATCCCAGGAAAGTGTTACAGCTAACTGCATAATCGTAGACCATATCTCAGCCCAGGCTGTAGTTTTAGACCAAATTGACCTGGAATGTTCCACCTTATTCATTTCCATAGGGTGTGCAATTGGCCACTTGGCCAAAATGCCATGGGTTGTAGAACATTGGAATATTTGAAAAAAAGCCTTTGCACCTATAATAAAATATACCCCCAGAATATGTTTTCTGCTTATAATATCGTTCTACAGCATCTATTTTTAGTCTGATATGTTTGTGATTTATTACAAATCTAAATATAGCTTACATGTGTTTCATGATAAAAAATTCTCAGAAATGGGATATTCTGGATCACTGATATGTTTTCTGTATGTTTTAGCATCCAGATATGTTTTTTCTTGAGATCCAGAATGTTTGTAATTTATTACAAATCTAAATATAACTCAGATATGTTTGATGATTCAAAAATCTCATCCTGGATCAGCATTGATGACCGGTATGTTTTCCTGTATTCTGTGGATGTTTTCTTTTTGCCTAAAGAGCATTCAAATATGTTTTTTCTAGGGTTGGACAGATCTAAATATAGCTCAGATATGTTTTATGATTGAAAATTCTTAGAAATGGTACATCCTGGATCAGCATTGTTGACTGGTATGTTTTCTTGTATTCTGTGTATGTTTTTCAAAGAGCATCCACATATGTTTTTCCATGTCATAATTCTTCTAAAAAAGCTGCATTTCACCAGAATATTCCAATTGTAATGATTCTCAGCTTTCTCCATCAAAAACTTGTGTTACAGCTACCCAAAGCTACCAAGTAATGTAGAAATATATTTCCGATTTTTTCAAAAAATTTCCGCCTCAATCAGGGGTGTGGAGATGATGGATGCGCAAGTCATGTTCCGGATGACCTTTTGTTCTTTGTTGATTTTAAAATTCTGTTCAATATCATACCCTTCACATACTTTTTGAATTTCCATACACCAGTATTATGCTTTTATTATAAAAGTATGAAATGTAGCTTTCAAACAGTATGATAAAATATTGTAGCATACTATTTGGATACTCTGCCTGCAATATTTGAATAGTATATAGATATTTCACTCTCATATTTTTTCCATACCAACAAAATACCTGTCAGACGGTATTGTTTGTTTCTTCTTGATACTAGCACAATACTGGCATCTCAGTATGTTGGTCATCTTTAATGAGTATCTGCTTAATATCATGTTAGTATTCAATATAAAAATGTGATATATTTTCATACTTTCAAGATATTCCCTTTATATCTACTCTCTAGTATCATACAAGTATCTTTTGAATATAATATATAATATTTTCAAAGTATCTTATCCTGAAGAATCATACTCTTAAAATATTGGTCAATCAGTATGTTGAAGATATTTTGTTCAAAGTTAAGATACTGTGATAGAAGTATTATTCTAGTATGTGAGCCAGTATTGAGGAAAAACATTTGAATACAATCAAAATACTAATCAGATACTTCAGTGTGGGTAATAAAATATATATCTTCATACCAATCACATACCTGGTGGATGGTATTTTGGGAAAATTTTATGTACCATCAAAATACTTTCAAAATATTCTCACGTCAGTATGTTGGAATGTTTGCAGTGTGGGTAACAAACAAACATCAACAAAGGTAGTTCCTGAGAGGAGATTCATGAAAGTGCCCTTTGAAGGGTGTCATCAAGTTAATGACAGAACTAACTCCATATTTCTTCAGTTGCAATTGGTTTCCATCATATAGTATGTATTTGGTATTTCAAATCAGCAGCTTTTTGGATGGATGGCTCAGGTTCCAGCTGGATGACGTTCCCAAAGGCGTTGCCACACAAGTACAAATAGTTTCCCCCCTAGTGCCCAGATCTTCAAAAGGCACGGTTATTCCTCCTCTACACTTGTATCTAATGAAAAATATACATTTTAGTACTCTTAAAGTAGAACAGAATCCAATTTTTCATGTTTTACATTCACGGTGCCCTCGCAAGTGGATGGATACAACAGAGTGAACTTGGATGATGTGTTTGAAGCTGTAGATAAACAGATGCAAAGTTCTCAAAAAAACATCAGGAAAACAACTGAAATTGAGCAGGAGAGGAAGGGAACACTACCCTGACATTGGTAATACATATCAGGATGTTGAATTTACAACATTGGACTTGCTCTCTTATCAGAACATCAGGAAAACCTCATTTGCTGATCTGTGTTCATAAGCTAGAATGTGCCAGAATATGCAAAAAATCTGTCAATATAAGTTGTGAGTAAGTTGCATAAGGTCAATCAGCCAAATAAGGTAAGTGTCCAAAATATTGGCACTTATTCTTCACTAATCATGACTGATTTGTACTCATCAATTGTGGATCTGCTCAGAGAAAGTGGCCGATATGAGAAAATAAATCTCAGATATCACACAGAATTTCGTCATCAATCAAAAGAGCTACATATCTATATTGCTGCACGATATTCCAAGATCATAGATACTAGTCCGTATACCATAGATACTAGTCCAACCCATCTAAATCCAACACTGCCAATGCGCTACCTTTAGTAAGAGCTCCAGTATCCATAGTGTTGTCACCGTCGCTGTAGATATAGGTTGAGGACAAGATTAAAGAGAGCGAGATTCAAATACTTACGTGACTTTTGCATAAAGTTCCGACATAATCTTGTGGTACGTGTTGACTTTCTTCTTCAACTTTGTTAAATTATCTATGTGGCGATTGAAGACCTTCTTGAAATTATCTCCTTCAAATTTCTTGGCTTTGGCCTTCTGGCTGTCGGCACTCATCTTGCCCTTCTTGCCTTCTCGCCATTCGTAAAGTGCAGCAAAGAACTTGGATTATTGTATCAGTGATAATCCTGACAACAATGAAAGCATGCACTTACTGCCGTTGCACCAAGGGCAACAATGGGAATCATCAGCTCAGGATCTTTGAGGGTTGGATGCGACGAAACATAATACTTCTTGAACTTGTATCCAAAGCCTGTCGGACTGTTGAAGAAAGCAGTCTTGATGAGGTTGATGAGACCTGGGTTGAGGTAAATCTGGATGTCGGTAACCGAGTTCTTGACCATCCAGATAGGCTCAAAGACAAAAGTTAGATCATATATGGAAAGGAAGAAACAAGGACACACCTTGCCATCTTTATCTGCAGCCCAGTGCCCAGGATATACGTACACATCGTTCTCGATCAACGCATGGACATGCTGTGAACATCCATCACCAACGCCGAGCTGAAAAATTGTGATCTGGTCCGAAGCCATGCTTCAAATCTGTCCGCGGTGATGCGATAGATGATCAACAACCTATATTAAAGATGTCGTCAAAGCATTCAATGGAGAGGTTACCAAATCACGTACCCATTTGCCAATATGCCTGGCGAACTTTTCGTCAATTGACAGGTGGTTGGTCAGTGCCTTGTACTGGGCATCTTGCTTCCCCTTGTCGTCTTCGGTATTCTTGGCGTGCAGAAGCTTGACCGCTTCTAACAGGACTTGTCGTTTGTAGAGCGTACCTTTAGGGAGTTCCGGCCATGCATTTTCAGTAACCAAAGTCTTCTCAATGATTTGAATGGCCTCGCGACAGACTACCCGGATAAGGTCAGTCTGCTGGGTAAGAGTGCCTGTCCTCAGTTGAAGGGCCTTGGGCCAATTGTCTTCAGGGATGGCCTTGTCGTCATCATCACTTGCAATTGTGGCAGCACCCACTTTTGATTTTGACTTTTGAACCATGGAGCGTATGGCTTGTGTTGTGGGGCGCTACAAAGAGATGGTCAGTTATGGCAGCGTACTGGAAGATTAGGAGAAATGTTGATACCTCGGCATTTAAGGCAGCATCACGCTTGCAGGTACGCTGAGGGTGAAGATTGAGTAAATGTTATTAAGATATATACAAAACTCACCAGGCTAGACTTTGATTGCTTAGAACCTCAGGTGTCGTCTTCATCAACCTCCTCTTCGCCTGAATCGTTTGGATCATCAAACAACCCTTCGGAATCAGATGTGGGGGGGCGCGAAGCTTCAGAGCTGGACCCTTGCCGGCTAGTGGCGATTTCTATGTCATCATCGTTGTCAAACAACAAAGCTGCATCAGCAGCTTGGGGGAGCTACAGCAAAGGGCTTCAAATTAAGAGCATGTCCAAGAAAGAAAAACAGCACCTCTTTGTTGAACATCTGCCTGAACTCCCTATCTGTCATCCGTGCAACATCGAAATCATTGTCATCTTCATCGTCACTGTCTGATTTCCCTAAGCGCCCTTGACTGCCATCGGAAAGAGATGAGATCGATGAATTGTCTGAGTCATCAGCCTCAATCAGGTTGGTTTTCTTGATCTTTGGGGTCGGCTTGCCCTTTGTCGGAAGTTTTGTACCTGTGGACAAATTGTGATATTCATAGAAAGATAGAAATATAGTAGGTAGCACGCACTGTTGTGGACGTTGTTGTGGATGTCAGAGTTGGAGGTAGCTGCTGTGATCACAACAAAGACGATTAGTAAGTGACCTAGGAATTCAGAACTCCTACCTTTTTGAGACTTAGCCCTTGTTTCCTCACTCCCAACAGCCCCATGCTTGCTCTCACCCTCTTCACATCTTCCTTTCTGCAGCCTCTTACGAGGCTGGTTATCTGCTCAACAGGCTTGACAATGAGCTTAATGCCACGTCATCACAGCGATACCACAACGTACCTTTGTCAGATGTTTTCTGCACGCCTTTGCCGTGATCATCTGGGCTGGGTGAGCGAGGTCTTTTTCTCCTCTCTGCTTCATACCATGCTAACACATATTTTGTAAGGATTTTACAGATTCCATGGTTCCCAGACCCAAGAACTCACCGGCATTTTTTAAGGCCGTCATTTTCACCTTCCTTGGTCCTAATACAGGTGAGAAATTGGTGTCTCGTTGACTGTGCAGGCTGATCTTACCTTCTCCTTCCGCAATTAGTCGATGATCCTCTTCTTCCTTCCGCAACCACGTATTATTTCATTTTCGCTGATGCACTTCCCCATCAATGAGAGTATCATCCTCCATCATTAGGGTTATTCAAGTGCTGGATGTTGCAGTCAAGGACCTACAGCAGAAGCACGTACAATGGGAGATGGATGGGGGAGATGGATGGTTGTGTGTTTGTTGGTACTGTTTGTTGGTACTGTATAGTTTGGCAACGACATCTTTTACTTCTGCAGCTGACTGCCGAACATTCCTTCTACAAGCTGTTAAGTCCGCATTCCCCACTAAAATGTCCTCAGAAACAACTATGTGTCCTGGCTGCGACCACCTTTTTTCACTCCGAGGTTATCAACGCCATCTAGCTCTCACAAAAGACCCTCTTTGCTGTGCCATTTTCGACAAACTTAAGAAAGCAAATGATGCTTACGAACTGCTCATGAGTGCTGGAAGGCAATCAAGTTCAGGTGCAGGCCCAGACACAGACGCCATGCCGTTCCAAGGCAACGCTTTTGGAACTGCTGAAGACTATGCATCTGATCTGTTCGGACAGGACAACAGAGTTCAACCTGATGACCTGCCACCTCTGATGGAGGTATCTGACGATGAAGACGACAAAGAAGAAGATGATGATGAAGAAGACGACAAAGAAGACTCAGAACTGACTAACATGGTTGCGGAATTGGAGAAAAGTTGGGAACCACATCGAGAGGGGGCCCCCCATCAGGAAGCGGTGGACGCAGATGACAACAATGTTGACCCCAATGATGTCCCACCTCTGGTGGACGCATCTGACGATGAAGATGATGAGGATGAGGGGGCTCTTCCAAGTCATCGAGAAGTGGACGACTCGGACGTTGACGACGACGAACGCCATGCACAACACAAACGCAATGTCGATCACTTTATTATCAGAGATGGCTATGGAGTAGTGTTGCCGCGGCTTGGCTAGCCGAGAGCCGGCTGATGTAAGCCAGCTAAATTTCCTTAAGTGGCTCAGCTCGGCTTTTAGCTGACTCAAAGCTTGCTCAAGCCGGCACATAATTTTTAAGGTGATGTGACCATAAATCTGGGTAAATTAGATGCTGTCTACCTGATAGATACACAATATAATATATATTTCGAGCATAGAACTATAATAGAAACCCTAGGGTTTTAAATATAAATATAAATTCGCAAAAAATGGGGGAGGATGTGAGATTGCATAGAAATATGGATGTCATATCTTCAGGACCTTCAAATGTGACTAAAATACAATGTAAACGAGCCTTCAATGATGAAAAAAGGTGGAAAGCTGACCAAGATACAGCTTAACCCCCCCCCAAAACCAGAAAATGTGGAATATCTTGAGAGCGTGGACACGCGAACCTCTCGTCTCTTTGGGACCTTCAAACGACACTAGAATATGTTGTAAACAAGCCCTCAACGATAAAAAAAGGTAAAGAATTGACCGAGATAGAGCTTAACCCCCCCAAAACCAGAAAATGTGGAATATCTTGAGAGTGTGGACACGCAAACCGCTCGTCTCTTTGGGACCTTCAAACGACACTATAGTAGATTGTAAACGAGCCTTAGACCATAAGAAACGATGGAAATTTGACCGACCTAGTGTACTTGCCCCCCCAAACAGAAAATGCAACATATCTCCGGAACGCAGACACGCAAACCTCTCGTCTTTTTGGGACCTTCAAACGACACTAGAATACGTTGTAAACAAGCCTTTAACGAAGGAGAATGATGGAGAACTCATGAAGATAGAGTACACCCTCCTGCTGAAACTTAGCATGACAGATCTCTCAAAAATATGATGGCAGATGCCTCTCGTCTCTTCAGGCCCTAAAATCGACAGCAAATAGCTGGTAATTAACACTGATTTGGTGGAAAACGGTACAGAACTCACCAAGATACAATATAGCCTCATGGTGTCTATCCAGCACCCATTACATGTTTCTTAGGGCTATTATTGGACTATTCACATGCCCATTCTTAAGTTATACTATGCCGAACTCATTTATAATTGGTGTGGTACACTACTTAAGTGGCGGGTTATGATCTAGGGCAGGCTGGGTTATGATCTAGGGCAGGCTGCAATTCTTAGTTATTTTCTATGATCTTAGGTTCATTTACAGTATATTCTATTACTAGTTAAATAATATGTACAACAAAAGCCAATTTTATTCGTTTTGAATGAGCTAGCATGTGTGGTTGATGAGGCTCAAAATCCCGGCTCTAGCCGGCTCAAGCAGTAGCCAAGCCAGATCCATCAGCTCGGCTCAGCTCGGCTTTAATTTCAGCTCAGCTGTGGCTTGAACCAGCTAAAAGCCAAAGCCATGGCAACACTACTATGGAGTCAAGCCAGCTGTAAGGATCCGGTACAACAACAAACATCCCAGTGCGCAGGCTGGTCAACCCTTAACGCACCAGGAGTCGAGGGACAATGTATACGGCGCCGCTCTCGGTGGTGGAGACAACCCCTGGGCCCCATTCAATTCAAAGAAAGACTGGGAGATTGCTAGATGGGCGAAACTTCGAGGAGCTGGGTCGACAGCATTTTCAGAGCTTCTGGCAACCGATGGTGTATGTTTCAATCATATATCTCCTTTCAACCACATTATGTTCACACATGTATATTTAACAGGTCCACGATGCCCTCAATTTGTCATACAAAAACTCGGAAGAACTCAATCGAATCATCAACACTAAATTGCCTGGACGGCCACAATTCACATGTCGGGAGGTTGTGCAGAGTGGCGAAGTTGTAGAGTTCTACATGCGTGATATCATAGAATGTCTTCGCGCTCTGTGGGGTGACCCAGACTTTGATGGCGACCTCATTCTTGAGCCTGAGCGACTCTATGCGGATGAAGACATGACAATTCGCATTTATCACGAGATGAACACCAGAAAGTGGTGGTGGGAGACACAGGTAGGGATGTTGTCATCATTTCTTTTGCTTGTAGCACTTACAATAATTTTAGAAGAAGGTCCAAGCTAGAACTTGAAGCAAGAACATCACGATCGTACCTATCATAATTTCATCGGACAAAACCCAGCTCACGCAATTCCGTGGCAAGCAGGCTTACCCCATCTACCTCACCATCAGCAACATTCCAAAGCACATTTGTCGAAAACCTTCTCGACAAGGTCAAGTCTTGCTGGCCTATCTCCCAACATCAAAACTTGGTCATATCACAAATAAATCTTCCCATCATCGCTGCATCTCGAACCTCTTCCACCATTGCATGCAGACCATTGTCAAGCCATTGGAGCGTGCTGGGCATGACGGAATCATTCTCATCAGTGGAGATGGTGCTGCGAGAAGGTGCTTCCCAATTCTTGCCGCCTACGTGGGGGATTATCCGGAACAAGTCCTTGTCTCGCTGGTGAAAACTGGCACTTGTCCCATCTGTCCTGCACCACGAGATGAGATAGGCGACTGGGACAGTATTCTTGAGCCTCGCGATGCCCAGAATGTTATTGAAGCTCTCAATGCCATCGATAAAGGGGCTACTGAGTTCATGAAGGCATGCGCTGATGCAGGAATCAAGCCTGTCCAGTGCGTTTTCTGGAAAAACCTTCCCTACATTGACATCTCCTCTCTATCACGCCTGACATCCTGCAGCAATTGTATCAAGGGCTGCTCAAATATCTCATCGGGTGGATTCGGGCTGTATGTGGAGATGCAGAGATTGATGCTCGGTGCCGTCGCTTGCCCCCAAATCACCACATCCGATTATTTATGAAGGGCATTTCACACCTCTCTCATGTTACAGGCACAGAACACGATCAAATCTCCAGATTTCTTTTGGCATTGGTTGCCGATGTTCGTCTTCCTGATGGCCATTCCAATGTGCGACTAGTTCGTACAGTCCGCGCAGTCCTCAATTTCATTTATCTAGCCAGATACCCTATTCACACATCCAAAACACTGGCTCAGATGAATGATGCTCTTCACACATTCCACGTAAACTGTGATATTTTGGTTTCTCTTGGTATCCGGACCCATTTCAACATTCCGAAGCTTCACAATGCCAGTCATTATTACGAATTGATTCAGCTCTATGGTACAGCCGACAATTTCAACACAGAATTTACCGAGCGGCTTCACATTGATCTTGCAAAGGATGTGTATGCTTCGACTAACTTCAAGGACGAATTCCCACAAATGACGTGATGGCTTGACTGAAAAGAACATATGATGCACCATGAGAAGTACATTCGCCGTCGCCTCGAAACATCTCATAACACCCCCCTCCATGTCCAAAAACCCCTTCCTTCTTTGATCCCTGAACGCAGGCAGCAGATGGCAAAGCACCCAACCCATCAAGGTGTGCCCATTGATGTCATTTGCACGAAGTACGGTGCTACACAATTTATCCCAGCTCTATCATGTTTCGTTGCTCAATATCAACATCCCGAATACTTGAAAGCCCAAGTTGAAGCTGCCTCCACCTCTATTCACATTCCTTTCTCCAAAATTTCTGTCTTTCATCATCTGAAATTCATCAGCTATGATGTATACAGCCTGAATCCTCTTGACAAAATTGTGGTTGACTCAATACACACTGATCCAGTGCATTTCGACAAGTATAGAAATGTTGTTCCTGGGCGATTTGACACTGCTGTTGTTCGGGTTAAGGACTCTGATGGTGGCGCCAGTTTGAACTTGGAAGGTATGTTTTTCAATTTTTCATGTTCTCTCCTTTGAACCTCAACTAAATGTTAATCTCAGATCTATGCATTGGACAAGTCTGATGTATTTTTTCTTTACCACCTCACACTATTGACCTTTGGTTCCCGGCTCGGGCTGGTGCCTTTTCATACAAACACTTCGCTTACATTGAGTGGTTTACCACATTTTCTCGAGCTCGGAAGGATCAAAATTCCAAGTTATTCAAGGTTTCGCGCTTGGTGGCTCGGGGAGAGCACCATGTGAGTATCATTCCCATTTCCCTCGTTCTCTCAAGCATCCAGCTCTTCCCAAAATTTGGTCCACAAGCACCTGTCTCATGGTCATCAAGCAATGTCCTTGAAAAGGCTACATCTTTTTATGTAAACCCATTCTCTGATAGATTTCCTTACTCGAATATCTCTTAGATAGTTTTTTCTAGAGCAATCATACCAATTCAGACAATGTTTTTGACAATGATCCTGATGATCAAGATCCAACAAAACCATGGCTTGCTGAGTTCTGCAAGTAGAACTTGTTTTGTTAGAGTTATCAGAAGATATTCCGGTTCCTATTCCACAATGAAATTAAGATATATAGGAAGCCTTTCTTTATTTCTACATATTTAAATTGTTTTCAGAGCAATGAACTTTTAGGTGGTGGTCATTTGTGTGAATTTGGTTCCTCAATGTCCCATCATCCCATGTTCACACAACTCCAAACAGAAATTAAGCTCTTGCACTTATCCTTATCCTTCCAAAAAATGTGTGAAGGACTTCTAAAAGGCATAAGGCTACCAAACAAATTATAAACCAGAGTATTGTAAGAGAAATTTTAAATCAGTGAGATGCATTCTGTCAATGTCCCATCATCCAAGTCCCCTGTTCCCACAACTTCAAACAGAAATTAAGCTCTTGCACTTATCCTTATCTTTTTACATCCTTAAAGTCATGTACAGGTAACACACAGTCATGAGGGGATGAATACAAAGTATTTTCCTCTTTCCATACATTTAAATTGTTTTCATAAGGGGTTATTGATGGTGATCATTTGCATGCTGAGTATGATTCCTCAACAATGTGCAACACATCAGTGAATAATCAACAGAAATAAGTATTCAATAAGTGAGGAGGTTTCTGACTGTGGGCTGATGTATCACTGACTTGAGCTGATTCCAATAGGTAAGTCAAAATCAGCTTGCCCTCCACTTATTGAAGCTGATCTAAACTTATTTCCACAAATCAGCAAATGGGGTTTTTCCTGATGAAGTTGGATAAAAATTGTAGAAAAGGAGTATCACTGTCTGTAAATGTCAAAAACATATCATTCCAGCAACTTGTAAACTAATACATGCCAGCTATGGCCTACCAGCATTCAGTGCATAAGTAAAGGAATATTAGGACAGGCAGTGTCAAATTTTGAGTGAAAGAACACACCTGAAAGTCTTGTTCCAACTTTTTGACTTTTAGGAGGGTTTCAAAACATTGAATTGTGTTGGGAAATCTTGCTCTGCTTGCCTAATTTTGAGGGAATCTGATGTACCTCTTCTTAGCTAAAGGTGGGTGTTTATATAAAATTTGTGAGTACTGTATTCACTTTGATAATGAAGGTTTTGTTGTGAAAGCCATCACAACGACAACCACCCCCACGATTTACCTCCTTTTGCTTAATCTCCATAAGTAGATCCTTGAGTGGTCCCTACCACTTTTATCATAAAACACTGGCAACTGCCAGCACAACGATTTGTTAATTGCCTAGGTTTTTTATGAAATGAGATAACATGGCAAACCTTATGAAATGTATCTCATTTCCTTCAAGGTATTATTTCATTTCTATTTCATTTCTATTTCATTCCTGTTTCATATCCATTTCATTTCTGTTTCATATCTATTTCATTCCTGCCTAGCACTATTTTTCATTGCTGCCTAGGCTATTTTTCATTTCATTTCTGTTTCATATCTATTTCATTCCTGCCTAGCACTATTTTTCATTCCTGCCTGCGCTATTTTTCATTTCATTTCTGTTTCATATCTATTTCATTCCTGCCTAGCACTATTTTTCATTCCTGCCTGTGCTATTTTCCATTTCATTTCTGTTTCATATCCATTTCATTTCTGTTTCATATCTATTTCATTCCTGCCTAGCACTATTTTTCATTCCTGCCTGCACTATTTTTCATTTCATTTCTGTTTCATATCCATTTCATTTCTGTTTCATATCTATTTCATTCCTGCCTAGCACTATTTTTCATTCCTGCCTGGGCTGTTTTTCATTGCTTTCCCAGGGTGATATTTTTGGTATTTCATTCCTGCCTGGGATATTTTTTATTGCTGCCTAGGCTATTTTTCATTGCTTTCCCAGGGTGATATTTTGGTATTTCATTGCTGCCTAGGGCTATTTTTCATTTCTTTGCCTAGGGTAATAACAGGGTAGGAATTGTCAGGGTCTCTTGCATTGTTGGAGGGTGGTCACATGACCAATTACCAAAAATGGTCAAAAAACGAAACTTGTAGCCCTACACCATAGCTTCCCGAATCTGTTTGAATGATATTCTGAAGTGCTCCCATTGTGGAGATATGAGGTAAAGGAATTTCAGAAGTGTCACATTTTTTGTTCTGTTTTTTGTGTTTTTCACCATGAAAACAAAACCAAACAACATGATTTCAGTATATTTAGAGAGCTCAAAGAAAGGGCTACAATTATTGTATTGTGGGGAAAATGACCAAAAAAGGAAGGTGCATGCCCTAGAAAAGGAATTAGACTATAAGAGTCAGATATAGACTACCAAGTTTACTGATAGACTACAAAAATGTCAGACTTAGACTACACAGTTTACTGATAGACTATAAAAGACTACAAAAGTCAGACTTAGACTACAAAGTTTGCTGATAGACTACAAAAGACTACAAAAGTCAGACTTAGACTACAAAGTTTACTAATACACTACAAAAGACTACAAAAGTCTATAGACTACCAAGTTTACTGATAGAGTACAAAAATGTCGGACTTAGACTACAAAGTTTACTGAGACACTACAAAAGACTACAAAAGTCAAACTTAGACTACACATTTTACTGATACACTACGAAAGACTACAAAAGTTGGACTTTGACTCCAAAAGCTTGGACTCAGACTACAAAGTCAGGGTTAGGGTCAAAATTGAGACTACAAAAGCTTGTAGTGTGCGCTTTTTCATTAGAAAATTTTGTAGTGTCTGCTATTTGAGCATACAAAAGTTTGTAGTATCTGCTTTTTGAGACTACAAAAGTTTGTAGTGTCCGCTTTTAAGACTACAAGTTGCCATGTAGTTTGTGGTGTCCTTGATCCTGTCTAAGTTATGGCAATGAGGTTGAATGATTGACATTCATTAGAAAAGTTTGTAGTGTCCACTTTTTGAGACTACAAAAGTTTGTAGTGTGCGCTTTTTTATTAGAAAAGTTTGTAGTTGACATGTAGTTTGTGGTGTCCTTGACATTATGGATTGACATATTGCCATTGCTGCAGCATTAGTTTTTTACATTATGCACAAGTTGTCTTTCACATTAGGATCAAAGAGCTGTATCAAAGTTGACTATGTTTGGGAGAGGCCAGTATCAATGTGAAAGCAGACAGTGTGAAAGCCAACTTGGTCATGATGTCAAAAACTGGTGATGTGATGTCAATCCTTCAGCCATATCCCCACATGAACTTATAATTATGTTTTAAGATAGGACAGTAGGTATCAATCAATATGAAAGGCTTAGAATGGCCTTTCCTAATGTGAAAGACAACTTGTGCATGATAATGCTGCAGCACTGGCAATATGATGGCAATCCTTCAACATCATCCATGCTAGGCAGGAATGAAATAGATATGAAACAGAAATGAAATGAAAAATAGCCTAGGCAGCAATGAAAAATAGTGCTAGGCAGGAATGAAATAGATATGAAACAGAAATGAAATGGATATGAAACAGGAATGAAATAGAAATGAAATAGAAATGAAATAATACCTTGAAGGAAATGAGATACATCTCATAAGGTTTGCCATGTTATCTCATTTCATAAAAAACCTAGGCAATTAACAAATCATTGTGCTGGCAGGTTCCAGTGTTTTATGATAAGAAGTGGTAGGGACTAGTGGATCCTTTATTATATTCTTTTTATCATTTTCTTTTCCCTGTGCATCGTGTGGTAGAGTAGCTACATTTTTTTTCCCTCAAAATTCAGTTTGTTTACATCTGTGTACCAACAGCATCTTAGGCCCCAATGTCATCCAAAAAGGGTTTCTCACATCCAGCTATTTCGGTCTGATTTGACAGAGGGAAACTATCTGAAGTGGTCTGAACATATTCAAGCATATATTTGGTGAAATTTCAGAGGTTGTTTCTATGACGAACAAAGCTGTAGGACATATATTTCTCCTCAGAACTAAAACTGTGCATTGTTGACAATTGTGTACCAAAGGCATTGAAAGGCCCAAGGTCATCCAAAATGAATTTGTCACATCCAGCCTATTTCAGTCAGATTTGACAGAGGGAAACTATTTAGGAGTGTCAGAACATCATCAAATATATATATAGTAAAGTTTCAGGTGTTCTTTCTAGGAGAAACAAAGCTGTGGGAACATAAATGTCTCCCCAGAATTAAATAATAAATATGCACCCATATAATATCAACAATACCTCTTCCCACCCACCCTACAGCAAGCTGTGCATTAACCCACATCCTGACCAAGTGGTCAAATGCACTCCCTATGGAAATGAATAAAGTGCATTCTTGCAGAATATAAAGCATAGGACTACAGCCAAGGGTGCATATCTAAATTTTACTTTGTGCACCTTTATTTGTACAAACAACCATATTAGGTAGAACACCCTTCCAAGTTGGCAAGTTCCAACCACTCCACCCTTATGATGTGCGGGGCAGTGTTTGGAGCAACTACCGAAACAGTGCTAGAATGTGGAGCAATGGGCAGCACGTGTGAATGGGCATCATGGTTTACATAGCCATGGCCTAAAACGGATGTTTGCAAGGCGCAAAGGAGGTCTTTATTGTCCTCTACTGATTCCTGCTGGATTCCAGCAGAATCCGGGCAATTCCTGGAATTCCAGAGGAATCAAATTTGGCAGAGGGCCCTGCCAAATTGATCAAACAATTCCGTGGAATTTTGAATGGAATTGGGTGATCACCTGAAAGGAATGCTCACAGAACGAGACAGAATGGAATTCCTGATGCCCAAATCAAACATCGGCATTTGGCCGACGTTTGATTTGGGCATCATCAACAAACAATGCCACATCTCTTTTCAACCACCACCATCACCGATGCCTACACACCATGTCACCAACGTCCACCACCACACACACCAGCCACAATGACGATGGCCACGACACGGGAAATGACACCTCAATGCCATGTCAACAGCCCCAGTAAACAAGCATGGCATCACTTTGCCACGTTGCTGATAGCGACATGGCAACCAGACGATGAACGACAATTTCGTCATTTGTCATCCTAGGTGAGCACCCCCCCCCCCAAACTTGTCCCAACC